CAATGATCAACGCCACACTCAAAGTATGGTGCCTCCTACGATACAAATACCAACTGACTACGTCCCCAATCCCCTGACCCCCATTGCACATAACCCAGAACTGGGTGGGGGACTATCTGTTGCTGATCTCCTGCCTCTCCTTCCTCCCGCTCTCCCGGGGCTACTAGTGATACACCCTTAACTCCCGCCCCCCCCCAGGGCAGTCGAACACAGAGCCAGACAGCAACAGACACCAGCAACACAGCGATCTCGACCTCGCACGACCAAACCCCGACCTAGTGCCCACCTGACCTTACCACCCACAACCCACTACTTAGGCTAGAACCTAAAGGCAGTAATACACGAAGCAAACTTTCATATAACCCTCTTGTATGTGACATGCAAGGTGCAGAGAGATTGACTCTCCCTCCTACCAGTGGCACTCTTGTTTGAGGCGCTAGGCAAGTACATGCAGGCTTGGATACAATAGTGTAACCCACGTGAACGTTATGTGTTTCACCGATGACTCTACCCTTGTTCAGTGCGCATGTCTGTAACCAACCTGCCTATCCTATATGTACTCTTTATTACTTGTAACCACTGTTCTAAAACTTTTCAATAAAACGAGATTGTAAAAAAAAAAAAATACATGAGTCAAACTGGGAGCTCAATCGGTGTGCAGCCAGCCACCATGATGCCCAACAGGCCCAGCCCCCCCTTTTTAAAAAACAATTCTTTATTTTTGAGTGCTTGAATAATACTTCACAACTTGTCTCACAATGCCACAACAGTAGTTGTCAGAGCTACTGTGTACACATAAAAACAAAGTGGCTAGAATATCTTGCACATTTTATAGTAAAAATGGGAGAATCAAACCAGTGCGAGTGATCGCTATGTCGGTCTAGGGGTCAAACGGTACTTTTGGATTGTCAATGCTATGGTGTGTGAGTACATCTGCTAGATAAGAACAAAACTCAGATTTAACCGAGGGAACAAATAGGGTAGTAAATGTTAAATTGTTATGCTGTGGGGGTGAGTCGGTCAGGCTATGGCAGATATGTTTTCTTAAGGGAGAGTGGTGTGTGTTTGCACTCCCCTGGTGAATAGAGGCTATCATGGATTAATGTATGCCCGAGTTACCCTGGGGCGCGGGGGTGGGGAGTAACGGTCCCCTGATAGTCGGATAGCTCTGTGCAAGAGTGTGGGGCCTACTTGTCAGTGGTTATTGTCGATTGCTTTGGCCATCAAAGTAAGGTCTCAACTTTTAAACAGTAATAAACTTTGTGTAGTGGGGGAATGTCACGGCTGTTTGTCCCAGTCTGTATTCAGGTGGTGGCTGCGGCATTGGGTTCTGCGGTTGGCCGTCAGGGGATGAATTCAGGAGCACTGGCTGAGTCCCAACTTGGGGGGTTCATGGGCTTTGTTGATTGTACAGATGGGTCAAGTGAGTCCGGGGGAGGTATCTTCGTTGCCTCTTGCATGCCGCGTATAGTGTGTGTGGTGTCGCCCTTGGTGACCAGTAGAGTGTGAACTGGGCCCCAGCAGTAACCTGTGTTGAGCTCGCAGGAGGGAGGTAAATTGTTGCAAGGTTCTCCTCCACGCCAGTGTTGCACTTGAGAGATCCGAGTAGAACGTGAGAGCCATTTCTTCGAAGAGGTATGTCGGCTGATCCTTGGTGACTGCCAAGACTGCGGATTTGTCTTTCTGGTTCTGGAACTGCATTACTACATCCCTTGTAGCTGTGGATGGTGCCTTAGCTGGCTTCAGTTTGTAAAATATTCCGTTCAATACTACCGCTTTGGCTGTCTTCGGGGTTAATAGTGCTGTGAGGAGCCGTCGTGCAAAGTGTGGTAATTCAGCTTCGGGTATGTTGTCAGCAACACCCCTGATCTTCAGGTGTTTTAGGCGGCGTTTGTCTTCCAGTGTGGGAAATCGTAGCTCATTAAGCCTATTCTGCTGTCTTAGATCCTGAACTGTCTGTTGTAGCTCTGTTAATTGGGGAGCATGGGTACTCGTGGTACCCTCCACAGCCCCAAGTAGTCCATTTAAGCCCTGCAGGTCTTCCCATAGGAAACCACTGCACCAATCAGCATCTACTCATAGAGATGCTTTGAATCAATGCATCACTATGGGGAACGTTCAGCGTCTCCACACACTGCATGGAGCCACTGAATATTCCCCATGGAGATGCACACTGTGTAGCACTGACACATTAAGCACCTTCAGCAGCCATCTGAGTGACTGCCACTAGAGTTGTTAATAGGCAGCCTTAAAAAGCCTGCAGGAACAGGCTATTGACACAAGAACAACTCTATTAAAGGAACACTATAGGGTCAGGAACACAAACGTGTATTCCTGACGCTATAGTGTTAAAACCACCATTTAGGTGGCTTGTCGAGCCTTAACCCCCTCCCCGCCGGTGCTGGCCTGCCTCTTTGTTGACATCGTCAAAATGAAATGATTTTGGCCAATCCAATGCTTTCCCATAGGAAAAACATTGGATTGGCTGAAATCGGCAAGAAGGCAGGACAGGGGTGGGAGCAAATGCCAGCTTGGTCAATCTGCACCTCTTCATAGAGATGCATTGAATGAATGTATCTCTATGAGGAAAGTTCATCGTCTGCATGCAGAGCGTGGAGATGCTGAACACCACAGGAGGTGTCCCTAGGGGGCAATGTAAACACTACATGAAAATGCCTGCAAAGAATGATTATTCTTACCAGAACAGCTACGTTAAAGAGAAACTATAGTGCCAGGCAAACAAACTCGTTTTCCTGGCACTATAGATTACCCCTTTGTCAAGGCCCCATCCCGCGGTTAATAACCCCTTGCGTCACTTACCTGGGTCCAGCGTCGATGTCTATCGGCGCTGCCTTAGCTTCAGAGGAGAACTAATGCGAATGCGCGGCAGAGCGTGAGGACATCCAGCATCATAGAACGGTCCGTTTCAATTTCGGAAGTCCCTCTAGTGGCTGTAGGCATTATGCCATGTGAGAAAGCCTATATTGGTGAAATGCGTAATGGTTATTTTATATTGTGTATTTTAGATCAAGTAAAGGTTTTTGGTTACTATATTGTTCCAAATCTCTTTTTATTGTATTTTTATGCATTTTTACTAGTTTTACTTTACTTGCTTTTTATTGCTGTTCCTGTACTAAAAGAAATCCCAGGTGGGGATACCACCAACACTTTACAAATAGAGCAGTGTTCCTGCTCTGTATCTGTGAGTATTATTTTAGTTACCTTTACTTACTTTTATCCGATTGAGAGGACTATTGTCGCCTCTTTTTATTTCCTTTGGAGCTTTGGATGACCAGACGGTGCTGATACACGCACCCCCTCCACATATCCCATCAGCGAGGATTATATCGCTGTACGCCTTTCACACCAGAGCTGGCCATAGCTCTTTAAAATGTGAGTTCTTTACTTTCTACTGCTATTTCACTCATTGGATTTTAGACGTATTGCACTACTGGCTACCCCTGTCTTTTTGTTTTTCATATATGTGAATATCCTGAGACCATAGGACATACCCATTTCTACTGAAAAGTCTACTCATCTACATTCCATCAAGCACTGTTACTCTAGTGAGACTCTTTTTGAACTATTTTACTTTCCTGCTGGCGCAGCCCTACCCCATTGCTTTGTATTTTCTCATTTGTTAAAAGATTTGAGGGGTCTCCTTCGTTTGGGTTGCTGCCTACCTACATATTGTTTGTTATATTAGCGCTGATTTCCTTTTGTATTTTGCATAATTTGTAAGAGACTATCACTGTTAGTAGTTACAAGTTGTTTTTTTGCCATCTCTATTAGTAGTTAAAAATTTCAAGGAGTTAGTGCTACCCCTTCTTGCAAGATAAGTACTAACAAATGGTATGTGTATTATAGTGTGAAAAATTGCATAAAAAGAATGGTAGCTCACATTCCTTTGTGTGTCACTGATAACTTATATGCAAAATGTCAAGCTCTTTGAATCAGAATCGTTTTCTTTGCTGCTTTGCTCTCTATTGCAATAAAGACCAGATCCTGTACTTCCACTACTCCGGCCTCTGACTTGTTAACTGGAAAATGTCCTTTTCAGAAGGACACATGCAATGATTCTCTATGGCAGAGTCATAGACGCATCGTGGCAAGTGCGGCGCATGCACCTACAGTCTGTGGAGAGCATTGCAGATTAGACTGTCATCTTGGAGGCATGCCTCCAGGAAGACATCACACTTTAAGTACGCCCTTCGTACATAGGAAAGCATTGAGAATGCTTTCCTATGAGACTGGCTGAATGCACGCACGGCTCATGCCGCGCATGCACATTCAGCCGATGGCGGTAAAGGAGAGTCCCCAGCGCTGAGGGAGTCCGGCACTGGCAAAAGGTAAGGGATTAACCCCTTCCTCCCCCTACAGCCCAGCGGGAGGGGGACCCAGAGGGTGAGGGGGACCCAAGGACCCTATAGAGCCAGGAAAACTAGTATGTTTTCCTGGCACTATAGTGGTCCCTTAAGTAGTCAACTGTAGTTATAGTCATGTTGGAGATTTTTTTCCCAAGATATGCCATTTTGCCATATTCACAACTATTTGTTATTTGGTAAATAACCCTATTTTACCAAACCTAGGGGGGTTGAGATTAATCACACATTGCATTAGCCATGCACACGAAGACTGCCATATATTTCTCTCCGTGGCTAGTACAGAAGCGATATGGCAAAATACAATAAATTCTGACTGTTTATGCTTTTTACAAAAAAAAATTTAAAAAAATATCACATTCTCAGTCTCACAAGCACAGGGTTACATTCCCTACAGTGAGAATTCAAGGTGAATTTAAAATTTAAGGTCAAAACAGCCAAACTGTGAAACTTATCTCTGCCAGCTAATGGTTTTATTCAGCTATTCTGACTTTTAATTTTTAAATTTCCCTTTAGTGACTGGCCCACTATAGCACCAGGTAACTTTGGTTTAATCATGGCCGCCACAGCAGCGAGGCACCATGGGAAGAGGAGGGCTTAAGAGCTGTGACGCGCTTCCACGGCTTCCCGTCATGCACCGGGGCATTACATATAATCGCTTCCTCGGCGCCCGCTCGGCTCCATTTTACACAAAGATCCCCCCCACACCCCGTAAGTGGAGACAAGATGGCGTCCAGCGCTCTCATCAAAGTGAAGATCCAGAGAAGCATACCGGCTAAAGGCGACGAGGGATCCGCCGAGGGTTCAGCCGGCAGTAACGGGGCTGTGGAGGAGAGCAAGGAGTCCAGGTGAGCAATGGCGGGCTCTCCGTGTAGGCCCCGGCTAGTCGCGCGAGCCTCGGTGTTTCCTGCAGCACTGGCCGGCCTCGGTGACCGCCTCCCCGGGCAGGCAGGCAGGGAGTGCTGCAGGCTCCGCTACACGTGTGGGGCTTTCTCTGTTACTATTATTATTTATTCTAGCTGTCGCAGTGTATGAATGAATGGCTGTCTGGTGTGTTGGACTAGGATTTAGTTATAGAAGGGCTGATAGATACATTTGTTTTTTTTTTTTATTAAAAATTTTTGAGCTTTTTATTAATCTACGTATGAAAGGGCTGCTGGCTTTTTTTAAATTTTATTTTGTTAGGGCTTATAGGTGTAACCAAATAATCAGCCTGAACCTGGGAGCAAGCAGCTTAATGTAACTCCTACAGCAAGAACACCTCCATTTATATATTCTGATTATTTGATATTTAAAGGAACTGAATAACTGGTGGTGGAACGTCCAAGCTGGTTTTCAGCTTCATTGATCCGGATTATTTAGATTTTTTTTTTTTTTTGTGTGAACAATGCTTGATCCTTCATAGGAGTTAGGCATGCAGCAATGGATTTAACATTTTAATTTAAAATGCTTTTACAATTGCAGATGTACAATGTTAAAGTTGTTCAGTTGGGCATGTTATATACCTCCTGTGCTCTCTTAACTGTTTCATTGTTTTCCATAGCTGTTTATTGTGGATTTGATGAACGTGTGTCTCATCACATTTTTGCTTGTATCCTAGAAATCAATGTGTTCCACGTGTAATGCATTGCTGAGCAGAATTTATTATTTATTAAGATTAGGACTTGCTGGTGAATGTGTTTACTGCACATTTGGTCATTGTTAATCAATATAACACTAATGAAATGCTAAGGGCAGTGATTTGTGGGACAGTCTGCTAACTTGGTTAACGTTTCTTAGTGTTGGTCTTGGTAGTACTAGGTAACCGCATGTTTGTTTTGCTATTTATTGCAAATGTGCTTCTCATCCTTCAAACACTAGAACAACTTTTGCTTTAAGGGACGCTATAGACAATAGAACTACAGCTTAATGTTGTTTTGGTGTCTACAGTCTGTCCTTGCACACTTAATGTAAAGGAGGAAAGGCAGTGTTTACATTACTGTAGTAACATCTCTAGTGGCAGTCACTCAGCTGGCCACTAGAGGTGCTTGCTGAGTCAGTGATACTGAATGCTCCCAATAGATGCATTGATTCAATGCATGTCTGAGATGTTGACTGGTGCAGTGCAGAATTCAGCAGTGTATGTGTCATAGCCTTCTTATGCGTTCCTATGGGAAATGGTTTGATTACCTACATTGGAAGTAGGGATTGACCAATGTGGTTTTTTTTTTGGTTTGTTTTTTTTAGAGCAGATACTGATAATCTGAACAGTGTGTGTGCGTATAGTGTGCGTGCATATAGTGATGTTAAAGGGATTGTTAAAGGGATTCTCCAGTGCCAGGAAAAAAAGAAAAAAAAACTGTAGTGCCCCTCTCCCTCCAACCCCACATCCCAAGTTGCTGAATGGGTTACTACTGAATAATGCTTTCCTATGGGGAGGTCTAATATGCATGTGCGGCCATTGTCGCGCATGCACATTAGGACACCCCTGCTGCCCCCTCCCCTGCCGTCAGCTGGCGGGGGTGTCCTAATGTGCATGCGCGGCAATGGCTGCGCACATGTATTAGACTTCCCCATAGGAAAGCATTATTCAGTAGATATCTGCAATGCTGGGGGTGCTCACATAGCGTGAGGACGTCCAGCGTGGCTTAAAACACTTTTCGTGTGTGTGTGTGTGTGTATATGTATGTAGTAGTGGGGGCACAGCACGCTTACTTTCCCAGCAGCTCTCCTGTCTAACTCTCGCGGATGGTGTGCCATGCGGAGCGTTGCCATGGTAGCCCGTTTCAACACTCTGACGGCCGTGGGACTTGCGAGAGTTAGACCGGGAAGGTAAGAGTATGCTGTGCCCCCCAGGACCCTGGTGGCGGCCCTAGTCTGCAATACCTGTATCTTTATTGGCCGATACCGATATTGCTGAAAATACAGACTATTGGCCAGACCGATAATCTGTCAATCCCTAATTGGAAGGATACCAGGACACTCCAGGTACCATAGCCATTACTCTGTGCTGTAGTGGTTATGGTGTTTGGTATGATCCTTGAATTGAGTTCTCCATTGAAAATCTAATTATTTATTCACTGTATAATCTACACCTCTAAAGAAAACATGGCTGTTTGATTGTTATGCATGTTTTGGGGATATATGAACAAATAACTTGCATAGGTTGCAGATCTTGTGTGTGCAAGCCTCCCCTCTTTCCCGTGCGCAGACTTTTAACTTGTCTTATGTGTCAAATGATCAAATTATTTTTCAGTGATTCAGGACAGCAGAATGATAAGCGCAAGGAGAAGACCGTTAAGAAAACAAGTCGCTTCGAACCCTATAATCCACAGAAACGGTATAGAGCATTCATCTCCAATATTCCCTTTGATGTCAAGTGGCAGTCGCTGAAAGATCTTGTTAAGGAAAAAGGTAATGGTCATCATGCAGACTTGGACTGCTGCCTTCATTATTTTTCACCTCTTCTGTCTGGAACTCTGTTTCAGCTTTGACGTGTTGTTGGCTGGCACTTTGTGCCCTGATTTTCGGCATCGGTTAAATTATACATCTGCCTTGGAAACGATCTTTAGAAGGTGGTGGTTCTGTGTTTAAAGTTTGGTAAAGATGCCTTTATTTTTACAATATCTTTAGAGGCTAGTGATTAACTTTTTATAATGAGCCTCTTGCTTGAATTATGTTAAGCACATGACCATAATGTGGCTTACATTTTCAAATTCATTGTAATTTGGTTGTTTATACAGTCTCAATTTGCTCTTTGCTCCTTTGACTACTTTATGCACACGGTAAATATTTCCTTGGTAATTCACTCTAGTAGTAAAATTAGCACCTGTCCATGTGAAAATGCCTTTGGCTTTTTAACTGGAATACAGGACAGATCTGAAAATTAGCTTGGGTATAAAAATTTGTCACCGAACTGACACAAAGGTATGTTTTTCTTTTTACTGTGTTCATAAATGTTTGTAGTGGGCTCACCTGTTGTGTGATGGCTGTTAGTTTGACTGTGCATCTTGTGATATGGTTGTGGTTAGCTGCTCAGCGGCTTAGGGTCCAAATTTAATAGGTGAAGTGCATCAAATGACTTCATTATGAGCTTCCAGTTGAAACTCTGCTCCTTAAATTCCAGTCATGTGTATTCTCCGATGTATAATTTTTGTGTGCTTTTTGAGAAGTTGTATTCAAGTTGCTGTAGTAATATTCTCCCAGGTCAAATTTTAGTTTTGAAATCTCTAATCTTCTACTACCAATGCGAAACGAGGCTGGCCTTCAATATTGGATTAAATGTTAAAGATAAAGAGTTTGTGGTCTAAGCTTGAGACACGTCTGTGTTCATCCATTTGATCAGTTCTAAAAACAAAATCACTTATTAGATCCTTATCTTTGGGATCGTTAATTTAATATTGATACATTTATTTAAATTGTATGTTTTTAAATCCAAAAGTAGAGCTGGTGTTATTGAACTGTAGTTGGTGCCTCCTATTTTTTTTTTCTTCCATTGGTATTGAATTTAACATGCTGTATCTTCAGACTGGTTCTCACAGGCTGTGTATGTAATCCTGTTAGGATCTGTCTATGCCTCTTGGTAACTTATTCAAATTGGGATTTGTCAGGATCTTGTTTAAAAGTGTGCAGTGCAACACTTCTTCCCTCCATGATCTTATTACTTTCGTTAATGCTTCTACACAAATGTAATGGGTTTTGTTTTGAGTAAATCGATTTGCCTTTATCCGGTATATTTTGATTAATGCTGGGAAATATTTCATGAAGACCAGATAGCTGTTTTTTATTTTAACTATATGCAAATTCTTGCTTTAAATGTATTCTCTAAGCACCAAAAACAATTAAATTTTTTTCGGTGTACAGATCATTCCCCTGCAGTGTCATTGCTATATACTCTACCATTTAGGAGTTAAAAGAACACTAAAACATTCAGAATACATGTTCTTATTCATAATGGTTTACTGTCCATGTCCCCATGACTGAGCCTATGTCTCCTGCAAGGTATCGGAGGAGGCAAGTTCTCCTCTGCCGATGTCCAATCCATTGCTCTTCATAGAAGAGCATTGGTGATGCACATGTGCCGATTTCATTCAAGCCTCCCCTTAGTAAAGCATTGAGCGAGTGCTTTCCTATTGGGGCTTTTGCATCAGAATTGCCTCTAGTTGTTGTCAGTATGATAGCAACTAGAGAAGGTTTTATCCCTTCCATGTAAGCATAGTAGTTACTTTAAAGGACACTATAGGTACCCATGTATGTCAATGGAGTGGTCTGTGTGCCATGTACTTGTAGTTTTAATCCTGCAACTGAAAAATTGCTGTTCTGCAGAAACGACAGTTTACGTTGCTAGATTTAAATATTCCATTACGAATACATGTGTGTGTTCCTTTAAACTGTAATGTCTTACATTGCAGGGTTACAAGCACAGAACCACTTCTCCCGAAATGAAGTGGCTTGGGTGTCTTTAGTGCTCCTTTCAATCATGTGTATGCAGTCCTAGCCACACCTGCTGTGCCTGTAACTTGCATAGCCTTTCTACACACACGTCCTGTAATAGCAGGTCTAATTTTAAAACTTCCTTTATTACACTTTGTGGGTTTTTTTTATATATATATATATATATATATATATATATATATATATATATCTTTAATAGCCTTCAGGAGCCTCATTAGTGTGATTTTTATTTATTTTTTTATTTTTTTTAAATGGGTTTCTCCATGCAACATGACCATTTCAGTAACTTGAAGTGATCATGGTGTCTGGAGTCTGTATGTGCATAGTTTTACTCTGAAGCACTGCACATACAGATATTAAAGGGACTCTATAGTCACCAGAACTACAGCTTATTGTATTTGGTTTTTCTGGTGAGTATGATCATTCCCTTCAGTCTTTTTGCAGTAAACACTGTCTTTTCAGAGAAAATGCAGTGTTTACATTACAGCCTAGGGACACCTCCACTGGCCACTCTTCATATGGCTACTAGAGGTGCTTCCTGGGACAGCTCTGCCTAGTGTGCAGCACTGCCATTTAATGTCTCTACCCTCGGCAAAGAGACACTAAATGTTCCTCATAGCGCTGCATTGATTATGAGGAGATACTGATTGGCCAGGGTTTGGCCTGTGCTGGCTCTGCCTCTGCCTCCTTGACCGTCTCAGCCAATCCAATACTTTCCTAAGGGCTTTGATCAACACCTCTGATGTCAGCCAAACAGGCAGAGCCAGTAGCAGAATGGAATAAAAGTAAGATTTTACTATATTTAGGTCAGCCAGGGGGACTAGAAAGTGTTTTAACACTATATAGGGTCAGGTATGCAAGATCACTGCAGAATCGGCATCTGGCTACTGCTGCTCTTCAGCTGGCTGTAATGGTTATGATGGTTGGAGTAACCCTTTAAAGTTCAATTAGCAGAGCAGAAGGTGAGAAATTCTAAAGTGAACACCATGTGCTCTAAGACACTTTAAAGTTAAATCATTTTTCCAAGGTTGTGTGATGCACACTTTGGGTGGCTGGGCTTACATAAACAAGTCACTTAACTCCTAAATAGCAGAGAACGAAGTAGTGAGTCTGCAGGGGCATGATCTGTATACTAAAACTGTTGTAAGTTAGGTTTTTTTTGTTTTTTTAAATGTTTAGTGTTTCCCTTTAAATCGGTTTTGAAGGCTCCTCTTCAGGGCATCTTATTACTGAACAACTTCCTTACATACTTTATTACAATAGTTACTCTTGAATTTCTTTTGCATAGAAATGATTTAGGATTGCGATAAATGTAATTACTTTATGCTCCCTTGCTGTTATAAAGGTTCTAGGGAAAGCAATTGTCAGTCTGCGTTGCTGATTTTAAAACTTTCCTAGCTTTCAACGCAATTTGTATACATTTTGTAAAACAAATCACATTTTAAATGTGACTGTACACAAAGCTGTGCTAAAATATTGTTTTGGAAAATAGTCCCCATGTCTCACAGCCTGTTCGTAATACTGCTTTGGTGCAGATATAATGGCTTGATACATTGTGAAAATAGCAGCTATCTCCATAGTTGGAATTTTTTTTTTGTAAGTATTTTGTAGTTGGTATTTTTCTTGTGGCCTACCTACAGTATGCTGCGTTCTCTAAAATGGAGAATCCGTTCCAATGGATAATTCTCTAAAATGATTTTTGTGTCTGATAACTTGTGTTTTATCTCATCCATCCTCAATAGCATAGTCTGTTGCCAACATATATAATTTTTTTTTAGCCATCACGTGAAGTTGTTGATACTTTGTCCGGTAGATGCTAAATGTAAAGATATACTTCTCTGACTGCTGGCTTCATGTTTACGGGAGCGGGGGTTAGTGCTAACTTTTCGAGTGAAGACGGTAGAGTAAAAAGTGTTAAACTTTGTTGTTGGAAAATCAATTAAAGTAATTTCAGTGTTTAGGTCTGTCAGTAAATGTTACATTTTTGGCTCCAACTAAATGCCACTGGGTTTGGATTTTTAATTCTTGCTGATTACATTTGCCCTTTGCATTTTCTTAATTTTTTTTACCCCCAGTTAATTCAGAATCGAACACTTGTGCAGTTATTTTTTTTTTACCCCAAAATGTTCTATTTCAGATCTTATGTTTGTTTCATGTTTCAGAATCATTTGTGGTATTTATTTAAACTTTTAAGGAAACTTTCTTCCTCATGAAGGGTTTTTTTTTTTTTTTTTTTTTTGAGTGCCAAGTGGTTACTACTAATTGTCCTGTGAGTAAATTGGTCATGGTACATATGTTTCTCAAAAACTGGTTCTTTAGATCCAAAATTTACGTAATTTGTTGTTGTGCAGGAAAGGATTTTTTCCACCCACAAAGTCCTTAGACTGCATGTTTTTCTTGTAGTGGCAATTTTCAAATTTGAAATACATGGTTTGCTTATATGCATATAACGATTCCATTGTACATGGCAAAGAATAGCCTTTGTAAGTGGATTTGGAGGATTATAAGCTAAAATTGCTCAAGTTGCCTGCACACTTTTATACCTTGCTGGTCTAGTGAAGTCTCCGGCCTTTCTCAGAGGCTCTTTCTGAAGGTTGTCGATGATTTGTTCTAAATTCCCATTATTTTCTTGGCTTTTCTCCTATGGTATATGTGTCGTCTGGAAACTGATTTGTAGTTGGTGAGGTAACATACGTGGAGCTCTTAATGGACGATGAAGGAAAGTCAAGGGTAAGTCACTGTGAGATCCCCCTTTCTACGGATTTATGAGTTCCCGTGTTAAAAATGTGGGCGCCGATATCTTGGGAGACTAGGTTTTGTATAACTAAACAACCTGGCAGTGTGTCTGGGTGGGAATTCTTGGCAAGATCTTTAACCTTTGTGCAAGATCTGAAGGAATCTTTAGTTGGATGTAATGGTTTTGAATTTATGTGGAGCAGAAAATAAAGTGTCCTTTTAAGATTTCCTTTACTGCCGTGGCCAAGTATAATGACACTTGTGAATGGGTTTGCAACTATAATATGTGACTTTAACTTGCAGTGTTATCACAAACTTTAGACATCAGTGAAATCCGTACTATCTTGGATGTATTTATTTTCCATCAATAGACACTTTTTGTGTAGTATTTTGAAAAAAGATTTGATTCTTCTGGCTCTGTTCCATTTAGTTAGAAGTTTTGTAAGAAATCACATATTTCCTTGCACTCAGTGACTAGTTGTAAAATCTTGATTTCGCTGGAGTGTTTGAGTAGCAGAGCACTGTGCTATATCCTTCGTTGTGAACAGCCCAAACTCTAAAAAAAAAAATAAATAAATAAAAAAAAAATGTCCTAGTTCTTACTATTTAAACTAATATTTTCTTTTTGTTTTCTCCTCCTCTTTGTACATGTGACCTGCTCAGGGATGTGCGTAAGTATCTTTTTTATTAAATATGCTGCTTTAATAATATATATTTTTTTCAGGTTGTGCATTGCCTAACAATCAATTTCTCTCTTATTCAGTTCTGTGGAGTTTAAACAGGAGGACAGCATGAAGAAAGCTGTACAAGTTCTTAACAAGCATGTTCTCAATGGAAGACCGTTAAAAGTCAAGGAAGTACGTAATGTGTAACTATAGTAGGACTTTGTATAAACATGACTTACCCTAAAGGGAAACCATAGTGCCAGGAAAGAAATGTTGTAGTGCACACCTCCCCCATGAGGTGCAGAAGGGGTTTAAAAACAAACAAAAAACACCTTCTGTCACTTACCTGGGTCCAGCGACGATATCCGCCTCCGTTACTCCCCTGCCAACATCAGCCGGTGGGGGAGACACATAATGTCCATGCCCGGCAATGACCGTGAGCGCATTAGGTTTTTCCCATAGGAAAGCATTATACAATGCTTTCCTATAGGGATTCCGGTGACGCTGGATGTCCTCATGCATAGCGTGAGGGCGACCAAATACTGCCTAACAGCCCAGAAGTCTCTCTGGCAGACAGTCCTTAGAGGTGGATTTACCCCACAAAGAAAAATATTCAATAAACTGAAGTGGTTTGGGTGTCTGTAATGTCCCTTCAAACATTTTACACAAAGCTGCATTAGGACATGCCATATTAACTGCCAAATTTGATGTCATGAACAAAAAGCATTATATAATTCAAATGAATATTCATATTGTTCAGTGCTTGTAAGCTTGCATGTGCAAGTATGGAGAAATGCAGCAGATATTTAAATTTTTAATGATTACTAAATTCAGGCAAACTCAAAATTCTGTGTTTTCTTTTTTGTTTGTTTGTTTTTTTTTTTTTTTAGTTTTACAAATGCATTCACAGCCATTTGCATTCTTGGCTCGGAATGAGGAGTGAATAGTGATAATAGGATGATTATTAATGTGCCTGAAAATGAAGCACACATGGCTGGAGGCACTACTATGTCTTGAATAGTTGTGTTGCTTAGAGAGTCCTTTTAACTTAAGTGTTATTCAAGAATTCTGCACTGCAAAAATGTATTAGTTTAGACCCACAATGATCAAGCTTCTGACCTGAGTCATTGCACACATATAGTCTACTGGAGAGATTCTGTAGAAGCAATGATACTGTGGTGAAACCTGCTCTAGCTGTGTTTTATGAATTTAAAGAAACACCCAAAACCCCTAAAGAACTTGAGAAATCTGCACTTTTGTAAATCACCTAAGTTGCATCCTCTTTACTGTCAGACAATTGTGAGGCTTTTAATTCACTTGCTCAATGTGGAAGTGATGGTTTGTCATAGAGAAGCACTGGATTCAATACTTTTTTTTTTTTTTTTTTGGTCGCCCATGGTGTAGCTGTGTAAAGAAACCTAACTTGTCGCTAGAAAAAGGGCTTACTGCAATTGAATCAGAAGTAGTTAATGGCATACTGTTATAGGGACTGTAAATAAAATTATATTGTATTACCTGTTTGTAACCGTTTTGACAGTAGTTTTAAACAATGTAATCTGTGAGCTTTTTCTATCTGGCAACTTAATACCTTATTACTGTGAAAACATTTATATATAATAAAATATTGTTACTTTATCCTAATAATGCACCATATGTGATTCTTTCTTCAGGATCCTCATGGAGAGCGTTTAAGAAGAGCTGCACAAAGCATTGTCTCTCAGGGCTCAATGGGCATGGGAGGTCCAGGTCCAATGGGCATGGGAGGTCCAGGTCCAATGGGTATGGGAGGTCCAGGGCCCATGGGAATGCCTGGACCAATGGGTATGGGCGGTCCCGGACCATTAGGAATGGGTCCTGGTCCATCTGGTGGCAACATGAATATCCCAGCCAGCATTCTCAACAACCCTAACATTCCTGTTGATATAATCCACGCCTTGCAGTCAGGAAGGCTTGGGAGCACAGTCTTTGTTGCAAATGTAAGTATTCTGTGCCTTCCATGTGTAATCTTGAAATTGAACAGCAGCTCTTTGAGAGCTGAATTTCTATCCTTTTATTATGAGACTTCTAAATGCATTATTTATATAATCAAAGGAATTGGAACTGTGCTTGGTTATATTCTCTGGAAGCTATTGTGATGTTTTGCGTTAAAGTTAAATGCAGTATCATTAACACGATGTATTTAACTGTTCGTTTGAGCTCTCTTCAAAGCTGAGATTTTTATTGCATGATCACCTTAAGATCCTCTTATGCCTTCTAGAGGCTGCACTGCCTCCTGAACAACCTAAGCAGAAACGATTAATTTTCGCTATGATGCACAGTTTAATCTGACGTGAGGACGTGTGCTATTCTTGCAGCCCATGTACTTTGTCACTTAAAAAAAGTGCATGAATCTGAAACCCTACACCCTGTGGCTTCCATTCATGGCTGGCTGTGCCACGGCTTCTGGGTTTAGGAAAACTCCAAAAATCTTATTGGGGGCAAGTGGAAACTTTCAGTTAATTTTTACTTGGGTTATTACGTTTTTACATTTTGGACTTTAAAAAAAAAAAAAAAAAACCTAATTCAGTATGTGCAGTTGGATATACAGTATACAAAACAATCGGGGGGTCTGATTTGCACTTGTAATGCAGATCCAGTTTTGGTTACAAACAACTCTGACCTGCTTTCAAAACAGACGTGCTCACATATTTGCATGGCCACTAGCAAAGTTAAGGAAAATAATCTGTGAACTGCCAGGTGGTGTTCATTTTTAGGCTAATGAGGCAAGCTACTAGTGTTGAAAATAAAGTGGTGACAAAGAACACAGGTTTACATTGGAAACAATACAATAACATTTTTTTACTGTCCTTCAAAAGCTGGTTTGTAGTTAAGGTGAACTTAAAATGATCGTTGGTGTGTTTATAGCTTGATTACAGCGTGGGATGGAAGAAGCTGAAGGAAGTATTTGGCATTGCTGGAACTGTGATGCGAGCCGATATATTGGAAGATAAGGACGGAAAGAGCAGAGGGATTGGCACAGTTACCTACGAACAGGCAATTGAGGCAGTCCAGGCAATCTGTATCCTTGAGTCAAATTGAAACATTGAATATTAATGACCTCATATTTACACACACACATTATCTTTTTAAATTGTACTTTGACGGTGTTTATTCCGCTATATAAAGGCTATGTGAATTTTTTTTATTCTTTATTTTGTTGTGCAAAGGTTTGACAGGCAAGCATTTCATGCCACAACAGCAAATACAGACAGTTCAATAAGCAAAATACTGTGGCATGTAATAGAACTGTACATTTTTCGGTAATAAATAGGCTTTCTATGTGAATTTTACACATAAAGTTTACAGCAAAATGACAAAGTAAATTACCAAGTTACATTACGCTGATGTTTGCATGTCATTGTGTCCCCCTGTATGAGTGTCATTCTATGTATCTGAATATTTTTGTAGAGTGGGGGGGTTGCTGTAAATGGTGTTATTACATGTCAGGGAGTGTGGGGGGGTGCAGGGTCTATGGAGCCCAAACAAAATGCTTGCTCATGGTCCTATCAATATTAGACGGCCCTGGTGTAGTAATACTTGTAATGTAAAACTTCCTTGACTGACTGATAGCTATGTTCAATGGCCAGCTGTTATTTGACAGACCTATGATGGTGAAAATGGTAAGCTTCTTTGTCATAGACAAGTGATTTTTCTTTTTAATATTTTTTCTTTTTTTTTTTTTAGTTGTTACTGAAACATTACCTTTGTATTTTAAGCAAACTTAAATATTTAACAGTCATGCCACAAGTGAGGTTAGCAAAGATTTAATCAAGAGACTTAATATAAAACTATGACAAGCATGTGTTGTCTAGCATCTCTTGCAGGAATATTTTTTATTTTTTTTGTGTGTGTATTTCTACACACTGAATGGTCAGTGTGTCAATGGGAGACATTAACCAGAAATTCTATTTTTAGTTAACTGCTAAAACATTATAAATACTGGTATAGGCAGTGCTGTGATGTATTTGTGAATTTCCAACTATATTTTGTAGGATGATAAAGCCATGCCTAAAGGAGACATGTTCCCTGCTGATCGCCCTCCACAACTTCCACGTAAGTAAATAACAGTGCATTTGTTCATCATATATGTGCATCTGAAAAAATGTTTATCCATAGATATAATTGGTGAACTTAAGCCATGTTTGCCAACGGTGGCATTCAATATCTGCTAAAAAGGCAGGCTCTAAAAGCAGGAAAGGAAACTAAAGGACTGGAAGGGTAGGAAGGAAAACTTACTTGATTAGAAGTGAAAACCCATATGGTGACTTTTCTTTATTTTAATATTGGCACAAACTGCTTGACTTTAACGGAGCGGATATGAAAGTAAAACTGACATGGTGATATAACAGACAAAGAGAAGGGGAGAGGGACTTGAGAGAGGGCACTGAAAGATAGAACTTTTGGAGGACTGAGCTGAAAGAATCATGAGTGGTAGAACAGGAATCTAAAATGAGTTTCACTTTAACATTTTGTGGGATGTCTGTAAATGCAATAACGTCATGTTAAAATATATATTTTGTAGGTGGTCTTGGAGGCATTGGGATGGGTCTAGGTCCTGGTGGTCAACCATTGGATGCCAACAATTTAAGAGGTTCAGGTGGAGGTCCTGGTGGTAAGTGACTTTGCTGAGAAGTATTTAGATGTGTCCTTGCAAAATGCATCCCAAAAATTTTTACATCCGTATTTTAGTAACCATGTCTAGGTAGCCAGACTTTTTTTTGCCAACAGCCAAGCTATACATTGCTGGTGACTTGCCAGCTTCATATACTTACCCGAGAAAATGGTTTCCCATGCAACATTCTGCCTTGGCCATGCCAGTTTATACCAACAATGGGCAGAGGTGATAGGCCTAGAGCTGCCAGCTAACACTGCACTTGAATTACTACCACTCACTTTTGCTCAAACTAATGTGCAAGCATTAGCCTGAGCTGCAGAGAGGGTGAGCGTCTGGGAAGACACGTTCAGTATATACGGTTTATAAACCAAAAACAAAGTTTAACACATAATTTGTGGACTCCATGCACTTCCCCTTTTAAAGGAATATATAGGGTTAGGAATACAAACCTGTATTTTTAATGCTATGGTGCCACTGTCCCTAGTTCGATACAAGTCTACCTTTTTTTTATTTAAATGAAATTAAGAGAAAAGCTTTTACTGGTACTCTGCTGCTCACCTCTCCTCCTTCTGCATTGTTATTGCGGAGGAATGGTATATATCCTATCCTAGTAGATTAAGATCAAAAAAATCGATATTTTGCTAAGGAGTCCCTTTCTTTATAGGCTTTTGTTTCTGTAATTTTTATAAAAATTTTTACGAAGGCTCAATAGTAACATTTTCTTATTGTGTAGGTTTGGGCATGGATTCCATGAGCTATGGAATGAACAAAATAGGTAAGTGCCTTTTACTATGTACCTTTTCCTGCTCCCTCAAAGCAGGAAGTGTTGTGTCCCTTAGATACATATAGATAGAACTATTTGTTTATGCTCCATAATTCAGAAGTTTTAGTCCTCTTCCTTTGCCAACCTTTCATTTTAGTGACTCTAATTTGTAGGTAATCTAGGAGACTGCCTTTTTTTTTTTTGGATCATTCTTAAAGAATGTTTATGGGTGTCCTGTGAGTGTGACTCTCTCTATAAAGTACTTTGTTAACTTTGAAATTTGCAAGTATTGAAATTAGCTGCAATGACTAGCAAGTGCAAAGAAAGCATATTAAAAAGGAAATGTCACTTCCTCAATTCTAGCACAGTTAAATAGCTTGGCTATTTGTTGTGGGGGCGAAAAAAACTCTGCAAAGTGGAGTAGCACGTATTAAATATTGGATGTAATCTGCATATCACAAATATATGTAAATGTATTCAAACTAAAGAAGCATACTTAAAATACATGAACTCAGTTCGTAAAATTGTTTCCACAAGACAATCGTGTGGATTGCATAAGGATATGAACTATATTTATAGGCAAATAGAACTTATGGGGGTGGTAAAAATCTGTCCATTTACCCCATGATTATCCTGGCTTATAGGTTTTTACAGTTTTCTATACCCTGTTATCTCTGTGTGGCCAAAATGTTATGCACTGCCCGCATTAATTTAAGTATGCTTCTTTAGTCTTAATTTATATATTTGTGCAATTATCTAAAAGACTTAATATATTTCTTATAATCCTAAACAGAGGTGAAGCAGCAAAGAGCAGTCACTCTTGAAATTTTAGTATGGGTACACTGTTCCTGAGCAGGAAACAAAAGCATAATAAATTGTGTATTTTTTACTTGTTTAGAAAAAGTACAGTTATTATTTTTTTTATAGAACTTGTCTTGATCATGTATTATAACTCTTGTAAAACTTTTATATCTGCTTTAGGTCTTGAAGGACCTCCTATTGGTGGAAATGGCGGTCTGAGCAGATATGGATCAGGAATGGGACTCGGCAGAATGAATGCTGGTAAGCTTTACAAATATCCACTCCTATTATTTGTATTGAGGGGTAAACAGGCAGACTCATTTTCGATTTAAATCTACAAAATACATTCCGGTATAACTGTGCCAAAAAAAATCTCCTCCTTTGGTGTCCAAAATGTCTATTCAAAGCCCATGCTACTGTAATAGAACAGATAATATATGGGAACACAATTATATATGTGTGTGTGTGTATATATATATATATATATATATATATATATATATTATATAGTAAAACACAACAAATTTTGATTGTAAATAACGTCCTATTTGTATTTAAGGGAATCGTAGAAAAATTTATATTGTATAATCTTTGGCTCATTAACATTACACAGTTGCATATACAAAGGCTATGACTGTAATCACAGAAGAATTGACTTCTCTCAACTTCATAAAAATGGCAAATAAAATATGTTGCTGCTTGATATAGTTTTAAATGTTCTACTTATCTTGCAATAATTTGTTGATCCACAATTGTTCAGTGCGCTTTATAAATGGAATCTGCTTGGTACCATTCCACTAGTTTACAACAAATTCCAAGCATGCGTTGCTAGTACCCTGGCTTTTTAATGGGTCCCAGTCTTTTCTTTTCTTTTTTTTTTTTTTTTAATTTTGTCCAATTGGTGATATAGAGCAGTGTTACTGAACCCATTACTGGTGGCTCACCAAAAGTCCAGGTTTTAATAAAACAGGGAAATACATAAATCCTCGATTGTTGGGGAACTCTGCCATACAGAACTTTTCTAAATCTGCAAAGTCCTGGACCTATAAAGGGGGAAACTGGTATCTTCTGTCTATTATATGCACCTAAAACATTTTTGGGATTAATAGAAGTATTCTACATATTTCAGTGTGCGACATGTTATATAGGTCACTGCTTTCCCTTTTTTTTTTTTTTTTTAAAGGGACATTGTAAACACTAAAGCCGCTATTATTATTATCATCATTTATATAGCGCCAACAGATTCCGTAGCGCTTTACAATATTTAGCTTAATGTAGTGTTTATGATGCAAAAAGTGTCACTGTGGTCTCACCATTATAAATCTTGCAGTTTCTAAGGAAATGCTGTCTTATATTTGTCACAAAGGACACTTAGTAGCTGTCACTCAGACAGCTGCTAGAGGTAGTTTGTTGCGTCCTGCAATCTTTGCATCACTTCCCATAGAGATGCATTGAGTGAATGAATATCTGTTGGCATTCTAATTGGCGCGATGTTCCTTTTAAAATCTTTTATGGCTTAAAGAAAACTAAGGTAAGCTTGTTTCCATAGACAACCAGATGTGTCAACCCGAAGATAACTTATGAACTTGTGTGTTCTTCCTGAATACGTAATTGACTGTGATATCAGATTAACCATACAAAAGTTAATTATCAAATATGGATAAATATAACTGTTTATATTTCATGTGTTCATAAACGGTCTCGTCTCCCTCTTTAGACATTGACCGTGGATTGACAGCTGGCTTTGACAGAAATGAACTGAGTTCCTTATCCAGAGGTTACAGTGACCCTATTGATAGAGGGTTAGGTAAGTTTTATGTGTTTTTGTTTTCCTTGAATTGTACGTAAATATTTTAAACCCGGTTAGCTTCAAATGTTTACAAAAAAAATTTGTGGACAAAAATTGCATAGTCTTAGTGATTAGCACTGTGGTGCTTTTTAGTATGCTTAAATTGAGCATTTTCCTTGTGCACTTTCATGGTCCACAAAACATTGGTTTTCTAGCCCCATGCCGTATACGGCATATATTTTTTGTCTTAATATTAAAATAAATCACTAAATCAGTGCTATGGTAAAGTTTATGGACAGAACAATATTTACACATTAAAATAACAAATCCTCAGACTTTGGAAGTATCCATCACCATATCTTAATACATCTTTGCATGCATGACAAATTATGCAAGGTGATCTTGTGAGGCAATGGGGGGGGGGGGACACTGGGTGTGAAAGTGGGTATTGTGAGAGGGCTTGACAAAAGAATTGGAGCTTATCTTAAAGGGACACTACAGCTTGTATTTGTTTTGGTGAGTAGAATAATTCCCTTCAGGCGTTTTGCAGTAAACACGGTCTCTTTTCAGAGAAAATGCAGTATTAATAGCCTAAGGATACCTCCACTGGCCACTCCTTATATGGCTACTAGAGGTGCTTCCTCTGGCAGTGCTGCACACTGTGCAGCACTGCATTCAGTTTTTCCATCCTCTGCATGCAGACACTGAACTTTCCTCATAGAGATACATCTCTGAGGAGATGCTGATTGGCCAGGGCTGTGTTTGACTTGTGCTGGCTCTGCCATTGATCTGCCTCCTTGACAGTCTTAGCCAATCCAATGCCTTCCTATGTTATTGGCTTTGATCACCACTTCTGATAATGTCAGCCAAGCAGGGAGATCAGGGGCAGAGCAAGCAGCAGCAGACTGGAATAAAGGTAAGATATAGATATATAGATATAGATAGATATCTCTATCAAGGGGTGCTAGATCGTGTTTTTAACACTATATAGAATCTGGAATACATGTTTGTGTTCCTGACCCTATAGTGTTCCTTTAACACATTGTACAGTAAAATATAACCTGTTGGTTATTTACTAAAGTAAACATTCATAGGAATCCAAAGTGAATTTCACATTTAATCTAATATGATGGGTAATCAAACAAAATCAAGATAAGATTTTACTATATTTAGGGGGAGCCAGGGAGCTAGATGGTGGTTTTAACATTATGTGGTCAGAAATACAGGTTTGTGTTCCTGACCCTATAGTGTTCCTTTAAGCTCCACCCTTTGCCAGTATTGTCAAGCAATTAATCTACATGGTATGACTACAAGAGATGTATAGATCAGAAATTAAGAAAATGGCATATATTGGAAGAGAAAGATAAGAGGAAATGATTAGAGAGAGGCAAGTTTGGGGCGACAGTTGCTTTAAAAGAGAATGCAGCATTACATGGGGCAAAGGGTAACTCAATATGAGTGATCAGTGTTTTAGTCAGTGCAGTAATTCATTTAAATGGTTTCCCTTTAATGTGCAGGGCTTAAAGGGTTGCCAGTTATATGCAGCCTATGTTTAAAGCGGCTGTCACCAATCCCAAAAGCGAAAATTTCTTAAAGATAAAATCTTTATGAAATGCTCATAAAGACTGTTGTAATTTCACTGAAATCTAGTCACAATGTATTTAATACAAAGTAGGGTTTCCTACTTTTGACAAAAAAGGCAGAGCTACAGTTGTGAAGCTTTGTCAAGCCATTGGCTGTAACTAATGCTGTATGAGGGGAAAAAGCTCTGTCTATGGAGAATCCCCTTTTGTTGCAGGATCTTTCATAGATATCACTGTTGTACTCTCACATGTGCGAGAGGACAGCACTGATGTTGGCTCCTGGCAGATGAAGTGCTAGGAGACCAAGGCAGCTACGAGGGACAGGTTCAGGGAAGTAAAATTCACCTGTCCCTTCATCCTGCGGCCACCTCAATGCATATTTTTTGCACTTTGCTGTTTAAAAAGACTTTGGAGGTGACACACTTTAAAAATAACAGTGGAAACGGTAGATTTGCCTTAGGTCGTTATGCTTTAAAATATTTGAATTCTGGCCTTTAAATGAGTACATTTGTAGCTAAGACCTCATGTTACAGCTGTTGTAACTACACCATGCACACAAATCCTGCAAGTGATCTCATGCATTCTGGAGAACACATCAAATATAAAAGCAAATGTAACCTATTAAAAGAGGGTAGTGTCACATGCCAATTTACATATCAATTTACAGAATCAATTTCCGGGAAAGCAAAGCCAGGGAGAACATTGCAAATGAGGAGCAGTAATAGAAACTTGGTCTAAAGCACTTTCATGTTAAATGTTTTTTATTTTTCTTTACAAAAAGAAAATTAGGTTCTAATTTTCATTATGTATTTTCTTCAGCTTGACAAAGGACAGGGCTTAAGTCATACTCCTTTGTCAAGACAAATTATGCCATAATATGCTTGCCAGTCACATCACTTGGGCTCACATATTGCAAGTTTATATATGCCCATTGCTGTAGAGAGCAGCAGAGATATGAGATCAGACTAACTCAGAGGAAGGTAGAAATTCAATGTTTCTGCATGGCTGAGGAAAATGGCTACGGCTGGAAAAATGATCTGGCGCCAAAAGGCTATAAAGAAGGAGGTAGACAAAAACTAAATTGTTGGAACTCTGAGAAGATAAAATAAAATAAAAATTGCCATTGACTGCTTTATTTTTATTTTTTTTCACCCCTCACAAAAATGTTTACTTATTCTGATATTTTATAATCCTGACAACAGTTCTCCTTTAAATTACCACATTTATAGCTTCTCAAAGGACTACTATAGTGCCATGAAAACAAACTTGTTTTCCTGGCATCCTGTAGTCCTTAGGTCCCACCCTCATGGCACCCCTCCTACTGGGCTGAAGTGGTTAAAACCCTTTATCCAGCGCCGGGCTCCCTCGGCGCTGATGACATCTTTTCCCCCTCTGACATTGGCTCCCAAGTGAAACCTACTCAGTGCTTTCCTGTGGATGCCAGCTTCTCACTGTGATTTCTCTGAAACTTCTATGTTTTCAGCTGCAGGGTTAAACCTAGAGGGACCTGGCACCCAGACCACTTCATTGAGCTGAAGTGGTCTGGGTGCCTATAGTGGTCCTTTAAAGATTAAAATGTGATCCCTAAGGATCCTAAGCTAGAATAGAATGTCCTGCTTATTTTGAAATTGCAGCTCAACACAGCCTTGAATTTGTTAAATGAATGAAACCTCAGACTGCATAATATAAAATGTTTTTGTTTTTTTTAACCTGTGCCACCACTTTGAATTGAAAGAAACCTGAACACATTTTAACTGTAGATTGATTAAATAGCTTATAACATTTACCAAAAGTCAGTGTTTGAAGATGATTAAAAATATTTACAAAAGTGTCTTTGTTGTTTTTGTTTTTTTTTGTTTCCCTTTTTTAATTTAGGTTCTGGAGCAAGCAGTCTTGGTTCTACCATTGAACGACTGAGCTCAGCCATGGGGAGAGGGGGTGTAGACAGAGTAGGATCAGACATTGACCGAATGGGGCTTGTCATGGATCGCATGGGTCCTAGTTCAGATAGGATTGGCTCTGGTATTGGTTCAAATATAGGTTCTTTAGGAATGGATATATCCACCAGCATTGATAGAATTGTAGCTTCTAGTTTAGACCGGATGAGCACTGGTATTGGCTATGGTGTGGACAGAATGGGCTCTAATATGGATAGAGTTGGCTCAAGCATAGACAGAATGGGGTCCAATTTGGATCGTATTGGCTCTGGCATAGATAGAGTTGGTGTTGGAATGGACCGTTTGGGTTCCTCATCACTGGATAGAATGGGATCAGGACTAGATCGTATGGGGCCTGTTATGGACCGCTTACCACCAGTTGATCGCTTAAATGCTAATTCTTTGGGCAGGGTTGGGTTAGATCGCATTGGCTCAGGCTCTTTGGACAGAATGGGCGCAGGCCTGGGGATTGGTTCTAGCATGGGATTAGGGATGGGTTCAAACTTTGACAGGCCTATGGACATGGACCACAACAAGTTTGGAAGCAACTTTGGAGGATCCTTTGGCGGAACTGGCAATTCTCGTCCAGGTGCAATGCCCCGGAAGGGATGTCAAATCTTTGTACGAAATGTAAGTGATGCTTTGTTTGGAATGCTATTTCTGCCTATTCTTTTCCTGCCGTTGGGTCATGCTGTGCTGTACTCCCGTGGGAGGGGCAGCTGTGACGGCTGCTTTAATGATTGCTAATAAAATGGGAACACTCAGGACATATTCAGCAAGACTAGCTTGAAAGACTACATTTTGAAAGACTTGTGTTTTCCATACTTTACCATGTAAAATTCAAATAACTATTTTAAGACTCCATGAAAGCAGCTTTGCTCATTTCATAGATACTCTTTAGGGCAGTTACTGTTTAGATAAAGGTCACCAAGACCTGGTGTTCTGTGTTGGCTGTTATAATGCCACAAGCCTTTTGTGTCGAGGGCTGTTGTCAAAACTAAAGTACTGCAGAATGTTATAAATGTCAATAATTGTTTGTTTTTTACTTTATATGTGGAAATCCACACTGTGGTCCATTCAGGAATCCACTTGTCTAAGACAGAACTAAACTTGATGTTCATCATGTCAAATATATTAATGTTCCAATAGTTTTGTGGGTTTGGTATATCCTCTGGTGTTGACTTGATCTTATTCTCTCCTCCACAGTTGTCTTTTGACTGCACATGGAAAATGTTGAAAGACAAGTTCAACGATTGCGGTAAGTTGCAATTCTGCTTATTTCTTAAATATGTATTGAAAAAGCATGGCTATGGGGTGTTACTCCAATCAAAGACAGTGTTTTGTAATTTATTTATTTTTCGGGGTATGAAATCACTTGGGAGGCTGGGACAGCATGTGCTGGAGGACTAGAAAATGGAGGGGATGGGGGGCTATTGAGGGGGTCAGGGCAATACCACCTTTGGTCATCTGTTGGTGCTATGCATGCTGACTGATGCAAATATCTGGATATAATTTAGCCAGGCTGGACTGGTTAATGATGCAGAAATTGAGTTATAACTCAAATAGCAAAATTCCTTAACTCTGTCTAAATACTGACTCTAAGCATCATGACTGCTTTAAATTGCTGAAGTACTTTTGGTGCTTTGAATAACCCGTTATGCTTGTATGAAGGGAAATACAAAACATTTTGCTTGTGGATATTTGTAATTTTTATGTATACAATAATTTTGACGAACTAACTTTTAAACTTGGTTTACGGCATCCTTTCAGGCCATGTTGTGTATGCTGATATAAAGATGGAAAATGGGAAATCCAAAGGCTGTGGTGTGGTGAAATTTGAAAGCCCAGAAGTAGCTGAAAGAGCATGCCGCATGATGAATGGAACCAAACTTGGAGGAAGAGAAATTGATGTCCGAATGGACAGAAATGCGTAGATGGGGCTTTCTTATAGCCTTTGTTAAATCATTTTTTTTTTTTTCCTCACTTTTTTTTTATGTAAGAATCGCTGCTGTAGGGGCAGACACGTTCCCACTATGTTTAATTTCTGTTTTAATTTACCAGTTTAAATTTTATTGTGACCAGTGTGCACATATTTTGTAGTTGTAAAAGTATGTTCATTTTTGTGAAACTACAGAAATAAAAAATACATTTTTAGAAAGTTTCTTTAAATTGTCAATATCATAAATGACCTGACCATAAGCATGTCTCTAGCTTTATATTTTGTATCATTTAATCATATGCATGGTTAGGTTTCAATTAAAATATTAAATTTAACATCAGTAAACTGTTTATCCAGTGACTTCTGTATGCCATTCAAAAGGTGTATGTGCTATTAGGAGCTTAAAGGATCGCTATAGGGTCAGGAACACAAACATGTAGTCCTGACCCTATAGTGCTAAACCTACCATTTAGGTGACTTACCCCCCCCTCCCCCCCCCTTACTCCCCCTATAAAACTCTTTATTGCCAATGCTGGCTTCGCCCCCTTTGTGACATCAAAATGGCTGATTTTTAGCCAATCCAATGCTTTCTCATAGTGATTGGCTAAAATTTGCATAGGGCTGCATGGGGACACTGAACGGCAGGACTGCCTACTGTGCAGACCTGAGCCAGTAAGTCCCTCCAGTGGCCATCTAAGGAGTGGCCACTTGGAGGTGTCAATAGGGGCAATGTAAACATTGCCCTTTTCTGAAAAGGCAGTGCTTACATGAAAATGCCTGAGGGGGAGCTATTATACTCACCAGAACATGTGCCCTTTGTATCTCTCTCTCCCTCCTTCTCTGAGCCGAGCAGAAAGATTACAGCTCCCTTGCCGCTTCCATTACCTACAGTTAGCCTACTGCCTCTCTCTCCCTTCGGCCAGCCACCCTCTTAACTTTTCTATCCCTAAGCTGGCTGGCCACCCAACTGCCACGATTAAATTCCACCTGCCTCAGATGGAACAGACTGACAAACATAGGAGTGTGCCTGGGCACACCCTAATCCTTGCGGCACGCCTATGGAGTGAGACCGGCAGGGGAGATATCAGGATTTGCCACGGCGACAATCAGATCTCGCGAGAGTGAACTCTACCCCCGCAGGCTAGAGTTCACTCACCACTGGACCACCAGGGAAGGTAGCAAGGAAGGATCCCCCTCCCTACATAAGGGAGGGGGATATTAAAGGACCACTCTAGGCACCCAGACCACTTCAGCTTAATGAAGTGGTCTGGGTGCCAGGTCCTTCTAGGGTTAACCCATTTTTTCATAATTATAGCAGTTTCAGAGAAACTGCTATAATTATGAATGAGTTAAGCCTTCCCCCTAATCCTCTAGTGGCTGTCTCATTGACAGCCACTAGAGGCGCTTGCGTGCTTCTCACTGTGATTTTTCACAGTGAGAGCACGCCAGCGTCCATAGGAAAGCATTGTAAATGCTTTCCTATGCGACGGGCTGAATGCGCGCGCAGCTCTTGCCGCGCGTGCGCATTCAGCCGGCGGGGCGGAACGGAGGCGGAGAGGAGGAGGAGAGCTCTCCGCCCAGCGCTGGAAAAAGGTAAGTTTTTCCCCCTTTCCCCCTTCCAGAGCCGGGCGGGAGGGGGACCCTGAGGGTGGGGGCACCCTCAGGGCACTATAGTGCCAGGAAAACGAGTATGTTTTCCTGGCACTATAGTGGTCCTTTAAGTAATCTGCCCCCACTAGACTACCAGGGAAGGCAGCAAGGAACAAGATTCCCCCCCTCCCTACATTAAGTAGGGGTGGGGGGGGGAGATATTAAGTAATGTACCCCCACCCCCCACAATCACGCACACACAGCAGTATGTGTGTGTGTGTGTGTGTGTGTGTGTGTGTGTGTATATATATATATATATATATATACACACATACATATACACCCCCCCCACTCCCCTTGTGCTTTAGGGTGCTCACCCTAATGCAATAGGCTGCGCACGCCTATGCTGACAAATACCCAGGCACCAGAACAAAAATGGGATTTTTCGAACTGTGAAGACTGTGCGTCTAAATATGTCCTCACTTGGGACAATACCAGATGACTTGAAATTGCCAGTAGATTGTAGGATTTCCAAAACTCTATTTTGAGGATTCTCCAGTCTCTAAGTGCTCCCGCAGAATCAGGATATCATACAAATAGTGGAAAATGGTAAGTCCTTGATTGTGAATCTGTGCAACCAGGGAAGTTGTCTTCATTTGTAAACTCATTTAAGCAGGGTCCTCCTCATATGCATATTCTTGTAAAATTGTGTAATTTCTCATTTGCTGGCAAATTCCTCCCTACAAACATTATAAAGCACAGCAGAATAAGTTGGTTCTCTATAAATATATATACAAAGTTGTTGCACTTGTTTAACATTATTACATGCACACTAAATAAATACAAATAAAAGTGGCTTGCCCTGAATGTCTAGAGTGACTCATTTTGAGTCTTCTAGCTAGTCCATAGTGGGAAGCTAAAAATAAAACCAAATTCTAACCAGAAAACCACCGATACAACTTATTTATTCTTAAAATGACCCAAATCATAGAAAAATAAAGAGTGACTAATAAATGTAAAAAAAAAAAATGAGCAAAGAAATGCATACCTGTAACCAAAATAGAAATATTGGCACCAAACAACCTGAAAATGCACCAGGAATACTTGTCAAAAGTTCATCAACCTAAACACTGGCTCATGTGCATGTCCCAGGAATGTCACTGATACATACAAGGGGTGACCTTTGTTGAGTAGTATCCTGGATTTTCCATGGGGAGACCCTCTGCATGGGTATAAACTCTTGATAAGCCTCAAGGTTGAAAGAAAAAGTGGAAACAGAGTTCAACAGGAAGTGGACATGAAAAATAGAAGATAGCATGCCTCCCAGCATTGGTTTAGGCAGTGTGTATTGAGTAGTATGAGCCAAGCCAGTATAGGAGTCTGGGTGTAGCCAGGGCAGTTCTTAGACATTTTACATGACTTACCAATAGTGATGTCGCGAACATAAAACTTACGCAAATGTTCGTGAATCACCATAGACTTCAATAGGCAGTTGAATTTTAAAACCCACAGGGACTCTTTCTGACCACAATAGTGATGGAAAAGTTGTTTCAAGGGGACTAACACCTGGACTGTGGCATGCCGGAGGGGGATCCATGGCAAAACTCCCATGGAAAATTACAGTTGATGCAGAGTCTGGTTTTAATCCATAAAGGGCATAAATCACCTAACATTCCTAAATTGTTTGGAATAACGTGCTTTAAAACATCAGGTATGATGTTGTATCGATCAGGTAGTGTAAGTGTTACGCCCGCTTCACAGTGACAGACCAAACTCCCCGTTTAACGCACCACAAAGAGAGGCGGCTCTCTAATTAGGCGGCCGCCTAAGGCCTCGTGCTGGCGCCTCGTGGCCGCCTAAACCACTTTATGGCAGACTGTGTCAGGTCCTCGGTCAGTGACCGAGGACCTGACACCAGGAGGGGGCCCGGCGGCTTGCCCGGAATGCCGCCGGGTGCGAGGCCCCTCCTGGCTGCCCGGCCACCATCGCAGACACAGGTCTGCAGTGAGCAGAGCTGCAGACCATGTGTCTCGCGAGAATTGGCCAATCAGAGCGTTGCCGCGGGTTACCACGGCAACGCTCTGATGGTCTCGCGATATTACACGGTCTGCGGAGCTGCAGACCGGAGGAAGTGGCCACTGGACCACCAGGGAAGAGAAGGTAGGCTCCCTCACCACCCTCAGCCTTCCCACCCCCCCACCAGCCTCACCACCACCCACAGCCTTCCCGCCTCACCACCACCCACAGCCTCCCCACCCGAAGCTAAGCTGGAGGAGGATGGTGCGTCAAGGTTCCGAGCAGAAGCTGTAGAAGATTGGGTGTCTTGTGTTAGCCAGTCAACTATGTCCTCAGAACTTTTCGAGTTCAGGGTACGTGGCCTCTGAAAACTGGGCATTATTCTAGGGCCAAAGGGAATCACAGCACCACGACCACGACGGCCCCTGCGGGGTGGCCTGCCTCTGCCTGTCATTTTTTTTTTTGATTAGTGGTACTATGCGTGCAAGCTACTGTGACAACAGATATGAGTGGCACTGTGCAGTGGCAAAAGTTGGCAGAGTAGATGCTGTAGGCCTGACACACACGCTTGCAGACAACTAATCGCTATTCAATCTATTACAGTCAAAATTGTATATATATATTTTTTTTTTTTTTTTTATGTACACTACTGTTACACCAGATATGAGTTGCACTGGTGCTAAACTGTGCCCTGGCAGGCCCTGAAACGCACACGCGTGAAGGAAACTGACTGCTATTATATTACAGTCCAAAAAGTTTTGTTTTTTTTAAATGCAAGCTATTGGGACACCCAGAGGCGGCTCTAGACTTTATGAGGCCTTAGGCAAAACTCAAACATGAGGCCCCACTAACAAAAAAGTGTCACATATACACATTGATGCACAGTTTACCTGTGTATGTGCCTGAGAGTGTGTCTGACAGAGAATATCCTTGTATGTGAATGTATGTCTCTGTGAGCATGTTTGCGTTTTTGTCTGAGACCCTATGTGTATGGGGTAGCTACTTGAAGTGTGTTGTGTGTATGGGGGGGTGATGGTAATGTGAGAGTGAGGGGGTAGCTTTTGTGTGAGGGAGGGGAGGTGATGTGAGAAGGAGGGGTTGATGCTGAGGGAGGGTGGGGGGTGGTGATGCTGAGGGTGGTGTGGGGAAGCTGGGGAGGCAGTGAGGCTGGGGTGGTGTGGGGGGGTAGTGAGAGGCTGAGGGGTGTGTGGTGTGGGAGGTGGTGATGCCTAGGGTTTGGGGGGAGAGGGGGTGTGGGGGTAGTGAGGCTGAGGGTGTGGGGGGTGAGTGATGCGTGGAGGGGTGGTGGGGGTAGTGAGGTGTGGGGGGTAGGATGAAGACTTTGGGGTAGTGAGGCTGGGGGTGGTGTGGGGGGTAGTGAGGTCAGAGAGATCAGATGAGTCCTTCAGGACTGTAGTGGACACTGAATACACTAGTCTAGCTATCAATTTCCCTATCAAATCAGCAGCAGCTACACTGTCCCTCCTCTCACTAAGAATGCAGCTTCACAAAATGGATGCTGTCCAGGAGGGAGGGAGGGTCTGCTGCTGATTGGCTGGAATGTGTCTGCTGACTGTGAGGTACAGGGTCAAAGTTTACTCAAGGATGACGAATAGGGGGCGGACCGAACAGCGTATATGTTCGCCGTCTGTGGCGAACGCGAGCAAGCGATGTTCGCCAGGAACTATTCGCCAGCGAACCGTTCGGGACATCACTACTTACCAATAATTTAATCAACT